CCCCAAAACCCCAAAACCCCAAAACCCCTTATTGGTTTGATCAAATTGAAATTAGTCATCATTAGTCATTGCAAAATATTCAGATTGTCGTCCCACTGACCTTTGCCTTGATTTTATATATCCATAATTTTTGCTTGTTGTTCTTGCATATCCATCTCCATTATATTCAGAATCTGAATCAATAGAGCCTTGACGGTCATAAAGTGCTTCATCCTCTTCAGTGACATCAGTTCCAAATCCTTTGTTCTTGGATGACGAAGTTCTCAAATTTGCATATGATCGATTTTTCTTACAATTCTTATCTAATCCGAAGAATGGAATTGTAACCACTTCATTATAAATGATCACCCCAATGAGTATGATAATAAAACCTCCTAATTGAAGGAATTGGAAAGATTCACTCACTCTCAGGTCAAATATAAGGGGGAATATCAAGAAGAATAACCAGATAATTACTGTCCTGATTTGCGTGAGTGTGACGCGATTAGCTGCAGATGCATGTTTAGTCACTTCCATCCCAAGCCCATTCATGCTTCCATCCAACAAGGTTAATAATATAGTATATATCACAAGTTCAACAGACCTTGAGATATGATTGAGTGCTAATCTTGTATCTTCAACCACTCCATTACTTCAAAGCTCAGCTTCTCATGGGATAAACTGTAATATTCATAGCAAGAAGATATAAAAGATTGTACCATAGATCCCCTCCCATCCGACTACTTTCATTGGGTGAAGGTAATATGATGCCAGAAGCTTCTCCTCTAGCACATATTGAACACTCTTAATGATGATAGAAACCACTAAAAGAGGGACTCCTAGATACGCATTTTTAGTTGCAGTTCCACTCTGGTTTATCACTGCAGCTGCCGCAATCATCGAGATCCCGATGAACAAAGATAAAATGCCAAGCCAATGATGACGATGCTGCTTTTTCTTTAAGAATACTACTGATAGGATTGCCACTACAAGAACCAAAAGCCCTCCCAGCATTTGTACTATGCTTGCTGGGACATTAATGTATCCAATTAATAGAACAAGGTCGAACTTCCAGCATCCAGAAGCATTGGGATGATGAAGATTGTTGGGTTGATATCAGTCTTCAGTCCCTCTGCTATTGCCTTCCTCATCCTGGGGCTCTCTTTCAGGGACCCATATTTCTTGATGCTTTTGTGCTTTTGATATAGGTATATGAAAATTCAAAAAGAATTTCCAATAAACATAGTTAAGGTCTGGATAAAAGGGTGTTCAAATGCAACTCCATCCACCACAACTGTGTTCATGAATTTGAGTATAATTCCGTGAGTAGATGATGCAGTTAGCATCATTAATATCAGAATGGTCAGCTTTAGAGCGCTGATAGAGTCTTCCATAATTTTATTAATCTAAACCTAATCTCTCTTTTGTGACCTCTATTGGGGTTTTGGGGTTTTGGGGTTTTGGGGTTTTGGGG